CCATGAAAGTCGGAGTGACATAATTGACGTTGTAAAATCAGTTACCTTTAGGCCTTTAAGATTGTATTCTTGTCATTTCCAAATTTGCGAGAAAGGCTCAACAACAATGATTCTCTGATTCTAAGTTTCACAGCAATGCTTAAGTACATGGAGATGTAAATGCGTGCTGCTGTTGTTAATCAAACAGAAACCAACCTCTTTCTTTTTCTTTTTCATCCTCTAATTTCTTTTTTTCTCTTTCTTGCTGTTTAATCCACTCAACACGGTACATGACACGATCCAGAATCTAAAAAGATGCAAAGTATCTCAGCTTCTCTGACTGACAATTAGAATACACTGAAGCTTGTCACCAGACATACTAAAAGTTTTCTTTAATTAAAACCAAGATAGTTTACTAATATTTTGAATACCTTGGTGGATCTATGTGAATGGTGCTTGAGAAAAAAAGTCTCACAATTTCCAGGGGGAATTTTTTTTTTACTATCTTACAGTACAATGCAGAGGAAATTGGTTGCCTTTCCAGTTTCCATGTGCATATCATGATATACCCTCGAAAAAAAGGTTCTGCTCTTTCTATAGCTTTGGTAATTTTGTAAACCAGTAGAAAGGTGGTTTATTGCTTAATAAAGATTTTCTTAAGTATGAGAGTCATTGTTTAAGAAATAATTTTAACTTTGTCAAAACATAGTAAACAGTTCTGATACCTCTTTGGGTTTATAAGCATCCTTTTGCAACTTCTCTTTGATATCACTTGGGGGAATCAAAACCTGACAAAATGTAAGATTTACTCAATACAGTTATCACTCCTATTGCAGTACATGATCATGTTCATATGAAAATACAATGAAGAAGGAATGATGCCATTTTCTACAAGGCCCTGAACAAGTAAATTCATCTTGAGGCAAATCTCACCTTTGTATACTGTTCCACAAGCTTGGTGAAATAGTTGAACAAACTGTGCTGTGGCCGTAAGAAGTCAAACTGATAGTTTCTCTGCAAAATAAATAAAGATTGTAACAGCATGTCACCATGGCTCTTTCAAAAATCTAAGATATATCATTATTATTCTGGTAAGAGGAGTAAGTCTCTCATTATTATTTATATATACTGATCACAAGTTTACACCTGCGTCTTCCCTATGATCAGTCTTTTCAGTCTAAATCAAGTTTCTATGAGTGTTATCATCATTACCAAAGGACCCAAAATGATATCATTTTGATTCCACAACAAGTAGAAAGTTTTGGCTACTACATAGCAGCAATAGTCAACAACTTGGACACTTAAGGTCATAAAGCTAGCCCAGGCCATAAATCTGAGTGGAAAAAAAACAAGGTAACTAACAGTACAGACAAGGTTAGTTAGATTTTTATCATATCTCTGGGTTCAAATAGAGAGGGAAGATTTCAATTCAAACAAACTTTTGAATTCAGTGGGCCATACATTGGAATATGGCATGCTAAATTGACCAATCATAATGCACATACTAACCGAGATATATAATGTTTTTAATAGTGCATGAATACCGTAAAAACCCACAGATAAGCTGCACCCTGAATTTAGCAGCTCAAATTTTGGAAAAAAAGTTTTTTGAAAGAAATAAAAAAAAATCCAAAGTTGAGTCTTGAGAAGTCTTCTTAATCCACTGTTCATTGAACATAAACCCACGATTAACATTGCAATGGAAAATACTTCAAAGTCTTGCTCATAATGAACATCATTTCTACCAACTTTGCCATATGATTGACCTTTTTCTGGTATTTGTTGACAAGAATTTTTTCATTCAACACAGTTTTTCATAGATTTTTGCATAACAACAGGAACACGAGCAGAACATTCGAAGCTTAGTAACCACACATGATCACACATGAAAATGGAAAACATTCACAACACCTTTTTCAAATGCTCCCACAGATAAGCTCACCCCCAATTTCTAGCAATGATTTTTGGAAAAAAGGTGCGGTTTATCTGTGGGTTTTTACGGTAAATGAATTGTCTCATGTTTGTGAAGTGTCTCATAGCAAAAGTACCTGCTCTCTGTTCATGAGATTAGTTAAGAACTGACGTCCATTCCTTGCCACAAACTGTGCAGTCAGTTTAACGATATTCCTGTGTGTTTCAAAGGAATATAAAACAATGATTTGCATTAATCAAAAAAGATATTGAGTGAGTTACTAACCTTTTCACTCCCAAGACCTACATGTACCTTTACATCAATTCTCTACACCATCTTACAGTGTTTTTCCTTACTTTTGCTTATAAGATTTGGTGTTAAATCAAAAAATATTCCCCAGTTGATATATTTCTTTCCTCCTATCAAATTTCCTGATTGGAAGTGTACTAGGTAATGAAAATTTCCTCCTTGGTCACCAGTGGACCAGAGAGGATTAATTAAAACTCTCAGTTTATAGCTACCAACTGAATTGATTCCTTCAAAAATATTTCATCGAGGTGAATTAAAGACATAATGCATGGCAAGTCTTGTCATAAGAATTCAACAATTTACTGTACAGTGACAGTATCTTGGGGAGAATATTTCAGAAAGCTAGGGCTACAAGCACATGTACATTGTATCAGTACCAACTGAACAGCAGTAACATGCCAGTCAGTTTTCAGTGGATTATCAGTAAACAGATTGTATTAAAATCAAGTACAATAACAACAATTAATAGTAAAATACACCTAAGGTTACTGATTGTGAATGTACACAACTCTAAAGAGAAAGGCGTGCATTTAGTGAAATGCAAATTTTAAGTTTACTCACAGATCTAATGCAGATATAGATGGTGGATCAGCCATGAATTCAAATTCTGGGGGAGGTTCTTTAGGTACAGGTGGCTCTGAAATTGTCACTGGGATCTGCATCAGAGGCTTTGGCTAAAATCAAAGAGAAATAGTGTTCAAATGATCAAAGTGTGAAGCTACCCATTCATTCATCCTTGACAATGCTTAAAAATTGACGATGAACATCATCATTTTGAGTTTTGCAAAGCAATGTCACTGCCTATCTGAAGCACTCCAAGCTGTGACACTTTTGGTCATCATGGAGGCTGGAAAAGATTTATTTGACTAAACTTTGGAGAACTGAGTGTTGAGTTTTAATTCTGTACTGTCAACTTACAAACAGGTATCACATCAGGCTGTAACAACCAATTCTCAAGATTAATTATGAAAGATCTATATTGTTTGGCCTCCATTTAGAGAATTTTCTCTCAGATCCTAGAAGTGAAAGAGTCAATAAGGGTCAATATTGTAGTTATTAAACATCCTTGTGTTTCTACCTTCTGTGGAGCAGGAGCAGCTGGGATGACCTCTGGTTCTGATGAAAACATCATATATTGAATTTCTTTAGGTATCATATAGTTTGTGGATTATACTATTGATAGCTTCAAAAACTGCATGTACATGTATGTAAAATAAAGTTCCGAAATGAAATTCCATGTCCAGTTTGATTGCAGGTAGGTACTTCTGATCTAGTTTGAACTACAGATTGGCACAAGACATAATATGATAATATCAAAAATAAATTAATCAAGTACAATACAATACAATACAATACAAACTTTATTGACACTCCCTAAGAGGGCTTTTCAGTGACAATTAATAATTACAAGAATAAAAATGTTGTAATTATTAATTGTCACTGAAAAGCCCTCTTAGGGAGTGTCAATAAAGTTTGTATTGTATTGTATTGTACTTGATTAGTTTATTTTTGATATTATCATATGTCTTGTGCCAATCAAGTATCACAGTTGTGGAATTTTTGAGGAAAAAATTGCCCCCAGTGATTCCAGGTAAAAATTTAGTGTTGAGAGAGCCGGGTCTCGTGGAACAAAAAACAAAAAAACCCTTGGCAACAAAGACACTTAGTCACTTTGAGACCCTTTGAGTCCAAAATTCAAACCCTCATCAGACCTGAGTGGAAAGCTACAGCTCTCTTTACAGCACTGTCCAAACCCTCTACCAAAGATAAGTCCATAAATCACTTATCACATACTGGTGATTCTTGTGATTCTCTTTTTCTTTTCAAATTATTCAAGTTGATCTGTATCATGTTACTTTTTACTCACCTTTGTCATCCTGCTCTTTAATCTCTGTAACTTTTTGTTGGAAGTACGCGTGGTAGGGATCTCCAGGATTCAGGAAATTAAATTTAGGATTGTTTATTTCATTCTGTCTGATTCGTGATTCAAATTCCGGTCCTGCAACAAACAAATAACAATGACAATCTAGCAGATTCAAAAACTACTCACACAATTCCCTTTTCTCAAAGCAGTGTAATCACAAATGAAGTGACTTAAGAACAGTGAAAAGTAACAGGGGGATGTTCTCTCTTTCTAAAAACAAAAAACTCAGCACATAAAAATTTAACTAAACATATACACAGCTGTAATAAGCAGAAGGATGCATTGATTTTGATTGCTTCTTATCTATGATTTATCACAGGACTGATGCATAGATGACCAATGACAAAGAGATTTTTGTCTACTCACTGAATAATTCTACTGTCTACAATCCCCAGTGAGCATGTACATCTAGGTTACCAGTTGTATTTTATAATCATGCTTTTACTTGAACACTGTCACTGAACAGACAGTGCTATATGCTAAAATATCAGTTTCTTGGGATGCATTTCCATTATACACTGAGGCAACTGCTGTTGTGTTTTTAGAGCAAAATCCCATTGAGTGTTAAAAGTAATCTGGAATTGCAAAGTTTTTTTCTTTGTTCTTTAACTGTTCACATAAACTTACACCACCCTTCCCACTGAAACAATCCAAACCTAAAGCTGAATGCCACCTGATCACCACATTTTCTTAAAGCAGTGCAGAATATGGGTTTTTCATTTGAGTTCTCATTGGCTCCTTGAGATTCTCTCCTTACTGGCCAGTGAGATTTCCTTGGTCTCATGACACTAAATCAAAAGTTTCTTTATTAAGGTAATTTTTTTTTCCCGAACTTGCACCTATGAAAATAATTTATGGTCATCTAATCAAATACTAGCGTGTCAACCAAGACCTCACTCGTATTCACAGCATCTTTACAATCATTCAGACGTGTATGATCTAAACATGCAATTACAGTAATTTAAATTCTTACGTCTAATGTCGATCTATTGACATACTATGAATTGCTACTCACCGTTTCTAGCAACAAAGCTCGCAGTCTTGTCAACAATATCTGAGCATCAAGTTAAGGTTTACATGTATATGATTTATCTACTATGAATAAAATACCCCTATAACAGACTAGTTATGAAAGAGCTTCGCTTCGTTCGGGGGAAGTTAATTCACTTAAGTAGCATTTACACGATCATAACAGGACTTTTCGAAAGTAACGTAACTTTCATTTACTTTGATATTTCCCAGGTAAACGAAGCAAAGTCAAAATAAAAGCAACGAGACAAATAGTGTTCCTAAAACGTGATGTCTTATGAGTGAAATACGATGTAGACAACGCCTTATTGTATGACCACAAAAACGTTGCATACATAAGGAAAGATACTTCTCACCTCCGGCGGAGGGTAAATAACACCGATCGCCGGCATTCTGCTCGTAGAAGTTTGTCGCAAGTACTCAGAACGTTCCCTTCACGCAGCGGCCATCTCTGGCATGACAATGAGGCTTTTTAATCGCACGCGTGTATGATGTCGAGGCTCGCTCCAGACTTCACACGGGAGAAAGATACACGACGGCTTTTGTACCTCCTATTAGGTCCTGATATAATAAAGACTTGATCGGGAGTTTGATTCAAAGAGAGTCGAGGGAAAATTATCGGAAGTAAGGGAAAGAGGCGATCAGTGTATTTTCATTCATACAGAATAAATTGTCGTCATAATTCAATCAGAATACAGAGGTCCAGTGGAGAAGGCAACAGTTATGAAAAAAAAAAGATTTTATAAAGAAACCAACTACTTTTGAAAGAGAAATGGAATCGTTTGTCTCATGATGACTAGCCAAAACCTATTTTACGATATAAACCAACAACTGTAGCTCATCTGAGCTATAATGTACTGTAAGGGTCACGTGACATACTTGACACGTTTCTGTAACTCTAAATAAACGAAGACAAGAAATTCACAGCTGCTTCAAAATAAATTCAATGTTTTGGACGACAGCTAGGACTCTTTGGATCGACTTTTCAGGCAACAAATGTGGTCAGAGTTATCGAAGGTAAAATTAAAAGAAAATTCCTTCGAGATCGTGAATGTTTTTCGAAAAAATTTATGCGAGCTTTTAACCACGTCAAAACTTTTGCAACCCCGAGATATTTTTGACACTCGACTAAAAATTGCTTTATCTTCAAAAATTATTAGATTATTTTGAACGAGCTTCAGAAAAAGTCTTATGGCCATCACTTCCATTTGAATGTCTTCGAGTAAACACAATGGCATAGGAATAATTTCAAATTAACCACAAAAAAACTCATCACGCTAACTTGGACTTGCAGAAATTGCAACTTTACTGCTAGTAAATAATCAGAATGTCTCTCTACAGAATCATTCACAAGTTACTATTTACACAGGGCATTATGTTCATTGTGTTTTATTTATAAATACTAACGGAACACACATTTAAATGAAAACCATCGAATAACCAGCACGACCAATTTTGCATTCTTGCTTTTCACAAAGATTTCTTTAATTTTATGCAAAAACGGCAGGTGTTCACCAATTCCGATCCTGTAACAGATGCTTGTTGCTGTTTACAAAGTGGTAAAGCAAATTTACTTTCCGAACTAATTACCTCATTTTCGTGCCCTAATCCTCTATGTGTGCTGCCTGTGTTTTCCCATTTTTGCTTCCACTCATACTTACAACGTAGATGAAGAGTCAAAGTATTATTTCTTGTTAAACAAACTTATTTGAACTGCATACAACGACGATTTCGTCGTAATTTGCTGATGTTTAGTACCAAAGCCCGATTTTATTCTTTATTTGCTTGTATGTTATGGCGTATTGTATCCTTATCAAATGTTCCTATCATAAGATCTTTTCTTCTGATATTCCTGAAATACAAAACTTCTCAGTTGAGCTCGTTAATCTAAACGCTCGAATTAATCAAATGCTTCCTTCTGTTTACAAAAATGACTCTTCCTGACAAAAATTTGTGGCTGAAAAGATACGCACTACGACAGCGCAAAGTTTTCGATCAAGTATGTTTTGGAAGAATTATCAATATTTTATTGCTGTTTGTAATAAATAGCCATACAATCCATCAAATGTGATTACCGCTGACTTGAAACAATCGCAGGCATCGAAGGGCGTGACAGGTGTTAGCCAATGAAATAACAGGACACCACCTCCTCCTGTTTATACGGAATACAACAGGTGTAGTCAGTCCTTTCCACACATGCTACATTCGCGTTCGTTGCAAGCTTTCTTACACTGGTAATCTCACGTATTGGCCCATACGGGCAAATGCGCCAACTAGCACTTACTAATTATAATAACTTCACTCAAGAGGAAGATGACAATCTTCTGACTTCAAACTCTGGTAAGAAAGCTTATAGTTAACGTGATTTCACACTTTCCATTTATATTCAGTGTTGTTACATATTCAAACTTCGCACGCACAGCTTTGTTTGAGAAGAAGCTTATGCCACACAGAATGGTAAATTTGAAAATTCCAATGAAACTAACATGAAAGTAACTTTTCTTTTTATTTTAAAGAAAAATTAAGGACGGTAGCTACAGACACCGTGATTGAATATGTCGATGAGGTTTGCAAAAATTAAATCTCAGCAAGAAACTTATCTTTATTATGAGAGAAACAGCTAAAATATTTATGCAGATGAAATCTGGTTCAACTGATAAGATTTATAGAGCGATTTCGTATCTCTTCCTTTTTCATCAAAGCGCTAGATTTACCGAAATCTGACGCCAAAAACTGGAGAAATTTTAAAAAGTTTAAAACACATCTATGAGGAGTAATCGAACGACCAAAAGTTGGACAAATCGACCTTTAGAAAATCAAGTTTTGAAATACAAAAAATTAGCTTTTGTCTTTGACGATGAGAGGACAAAATTATCGATGAAATATATATAAAGGTAAGCGGCGAGTGTTAGCTAGAAACGAAGGAAAAATATATGCAATTTTGATGGCAAAGTTGAGATCACAACAACTGGAATTTTTCGAATGAATAACGGGAGCCTACTAAGAGATTGTCAGTCGGAGTTTTTAATTTTGTATGACATTCCTTGATATTAACCGAAAATAATTTACAATTCAACTTGACAATGAGTTTCACTCAAACACACTGTTTAGAGAAGAATAGACCATTGTCATTTCACGGGCTGCAAAATTTTTATGCTCTCACGAAATCATAAAAAGTGAAAGAAATTCGGCTCAACTTGTACAAAGGACGATCTCAAGGTTGCCTGACATATTTCTATTCAATAGTGTATGATTTGGTGCCTTTTAGTGATATTTTGAAAATTTTGGCGAGTTGTTTTCAAATAACGGATGACTGGGTTCCAAAGCGACCTGCTTAAGTTATACACACACCACACGCGAACTTTTGTAAGTGCAAGGGAAACTACTCACAACATGAAATCCCTGTGTGATTTGTCTGCTGTTGTTTGTCTTTATAATGAATTAAACCTGCTCTTACACAAGGCTATCTGTCGAACGAAATGGTGGTAAAAGTGCTGTGTTCTCTCTGATGTCCCTGAACCTCTATACTCTGTGAAATATTTCCCAAGCTTTCTGAGCGTCCAAGTATATTTTCTTAGATTAATAACATGATTCTCATTGAAAAGGTCCCGTTGCGAGAAGTGCCCTACTCAACGTGTGTGGTGAGAAAGTTAACAAAAATGCATTATCAATCATCATTCATTGAAATACGCTCTGAGCACATTGTAGTGTCTTGAGCCGTGAAAGAACTACAGTTTCTGAAACAGATATCCTTTTCAAAGAGGAAATTACTGTCCATGTCAAATTAGCAATTTTTTTTCGTGAACAAAAAGTTTGAAGTTTTGCTTTCAAAATAACCTTGAGGTCTATTATCAACTGACAACCAAAAGTTTTGATTACTGCCCACAAATCCTTGCGCACAGCTTGATGGACTGTAATTAGAACTGTTCAGAATTTATCAAACAAATTGCGTTGTCTATAAGGCTTCTTAGTTGTCGAACTGTAAGCTATTCTTTAAAGCCGGGATGAAATGCTTAAGGATTATCATCGTGCGCATTCAAGGAAAGATAAAGAATACTGGACTCAAAGATATCGAGTAGAAAATTAATTGGCCTAGACAAAATTGTTTCCCCAGGCGTTTCCTCTGCGAATTCTCGTTCAAGAGATACCTTCTTTGTTGAAGTCGTCTTCATGATCAAAATGTACCTCCACGCCATTCGTCATTATCTTGTTTTCACTCAGAAAACCAGATCGAAATTGCTTTTCAAATGGAAAAGCTCTGATACTACATCAAAGAGCTTCGATGACTTTAAGGTAATAAGAATCTCTCAAAATATGAAACATTTAACAGCAACTTAAGATTGAGAGTCGGAAGTGAGCCGGAATCGCTCTCTGTTTGCTTTGCGTCCCTTAGTGATTGATCTAGAGATGCAAAAATAACTGAACCAATCAAGACTTGACCATTTACATTTTCCTAAGCTTGTAGAACTTCGCTTCTTTTTACTTTAAGTTCTCATTGGCTGATAATGATGTTAACTTTTACTCTCATTGGCTGTTGTGATTACTTTCGCTTCAGAAGTTTTGGCACGTAATTAAAAAACTGCTCTAATTCTGAACTTGAATCAGACCTCACGCTGTGACTTTTAGCTGACGCCGGCATGAGGTGCTGTTTCTTCATAAATCAAGTGGCATGTATTTCCACGTGTTATTTATACCTCACATTTCAGCTTAGCGCAACATCAAGGGAGTAATTACACCGAAGCCTTTCTTTGCCTAATTAGGACTAAGCCTTCAGATGTTCGAAGAACACTGAATCAGAGAAGACCGCAAATTTTGGAGACATGATTTGTCAACGATCCACCTTTACTACACTTCATCATTCCAGCAATTCCACGCGATGACTAAAATCAAAATCCTCGTAAGATACCCTGAAATGTCTGCTAACTGAGACAGCTTTAGGATTGAGCGATCACATCATGACGTACAGACGTAACAGACATCCGGGAAGTCCGTGGATATGACTCAGTAATCGCCGTATTCTCAGCAGTAATGGAACGAACACTTCATTAGAAAGCTGTCTACTTACGCAGGATAACTTCTTAAGCACCCACTTTCAGTAATGACCCACTGCTTAGGACGTTATGATCCTGATTAGAATTCTGGTTTTTGCACAAGAAATTTGTAACATTTGTAACGGGCGCTTAGATCATTTCTCTGACATTAATTATTGATTCTTAACAAAAATCCCAGCATTATTCACACGCATATGTAAAAGTTAGCATTAACTATTTGTAGTTTGCACGGTAGAATGTTGTGTCAAATCAGCTAATGTTTAAAAAAACCCAATTCCGTCTCTCCTTCCATTACTCTGGATGCAACTAATTCACAGCACTCTCTTCGACTAAGTACTAATTCACATGTCCCAAACGCAATAATGAAAACAAATTCATTCATTAAGTAATAGATCCCCAAAATACAATGTAATGATGACAAGCATTAACTAACCACTGTTTTAATTGGACTAATAAACTAACTTTCTAATTAACCGATTACTTACCAACTCACATACTAATTGACTAACATACTAACTAACCAATTAACTAATTGCAAGGGTAACATACTAATATATACTAATACATACTAATATAGTGACAACTAATAATGAAACATGCCAACATCTTTCTCTGAACTCCTCTCTACTATTCTCAATATAGCTAAAAGGTTTACTAACTCTCAAACTAACCAACACACTGGCTCCCCACGATCAGCAGTTTATCTTTCTGTAACATACTAATAACTTATACGATGTCCAACAGATATTTTTTGTTCTGTACGTGTCCTCAGTTCCTTTATCAACTACTCTCTTACTAATATTGTACCAATTAATGAAATCACCAACTAAGCTTGGCATTGACTAACTTTCAAATTTACTGCCTTACTATCTAGCCAACTAACCAACTAATTAATAGGATAACTGACTAACTCATTTATTACGTAACCAATTAATTACCGAACTGACTAACAAAATAACTAACTGATTAGCTAAAAAAATGATTACCAAACCAACTAACTAACTAAAAAACTAACGTACTGATCAACTAACTATTTAACCACTCGACTTACTAATTTGTAATAAAAACACCCACCGATATCTTTGAGTGTAACATAACGATCCAAGTTAATTCTCTCATCCTCAATCCCCATATATATAATATATTAATTTTCTCACCTACCGCAGTGGTTGCACAATCAATTTGACTTAAAAATAACCATTACAGTGGAGTGACTAACTGAGATTAACTTAATAACATACCTATTACTAATTACTGAAAGGCTTTGCTCATATCCCCTAATTAATTGCCTCTCTAACTAACCGGCTCTAGACAACCCTTTGTACTAATTCTCTATCCTCAACTGATTTTTCTCCTTAATCAGTTCTTCGTCTAACACAACTTTGCTCTTTTATATATCTTTCTGTCAAAACAAAATTTTCTTCCCTACACTGAACAGTTTCCTATTTGATCAATACACTTGGAAAGTAATTTCCAATAAAATCATTCTCAGTTAAATAACCAAGGGCAAATTTATGCATTACCATTCAGCATTGCGACTGAGATTCACAACAATCTAGTTTTGTTCTGATCTCCTTATTGTGCTTATTGAAACCTTTAATCAAAGTATTAGTTGATCATTCTTCATTTAGTCGTTTTACTAACCATATGGATTTCAGAATCTTGTCTTAAAAATTGTTCAACTCTGGAATGGAATGTTAGAAACTCCCAGTCGTTTTTCGTTTTATTTCTTATGGTAAAAGAGCTCAACTATAGTTTACTTTCAGCAAAGTTGAAATAAAATTTGGTTTGTTACTTCATCGATACGTTCAGTCATTTTCATTTGATATATTTGTTCATTTATTATCTTGCAATGATAGTACTCGATATTTTGATTTAATATAAATATTAAAGTAAAGTAAATATTTAATATAAATATTTAATCTACAAGAAAAAAGTCGACCTTTCAAATAGTCCTCTTCAGGCAATGAAGTCAACTGCACACGCCTAAGTGAAGACGACTGTTAGGATGCAGCTGAATCGTCGAGATCCACGTCAAAAGTTGACTACATTGTAAAACAAACTATTCTACTTCATTCGTTACTGCGTTTAGCCCTATTAGACTCGGGCCCGGATAGGGCAGGTAAGGGAAGTGTGAGTTACTATCATCAGTGGAGAAGTGTCGATACATTTTCAAAATGGCCAACAGTTTCTGCCAAAGGTACAAGCCCTACTGCCTTGCAGTATTCAAGATGCGTGTCACAAAGAGCCGTGTAATGGCCTTACTCACCGTAACTCTCTATGGCTTAAAGGTACAGTATCAAAGCGCGGAAACCGAAGGTGTTACAGCTTCTCGACGCTCGGCCGACGGGATATCTAAGTTTTCGAGCATGCGCGGTCACCAAGTTAACGCTCCTGTTTGTCTTTCAGCTTTTTCTCCATTTTGAACTTAATGTTGCATTAAACGCTGTGTACAATATATAGGGCTGGTTTGATCGACGCCTCCGTGCAAGAGTTTGATTCAAAATTTTGATTTTCAAGGTTAGTCACCGTTTGTGGCAACAGAAAGTCTAGCTTCTATTTTACATGAGGACTCTGAATGTTTTCAATGAAACTTGCTCGTGACAAGACGAAAAATCGTCCTTTTCTACTTTTACTTATCACAAATCTGAGTAGAGAAAAAAATAGCAATTATTATGTAATTAAAATCTAGAATAAAACCTTAAAAAATGGTGCACTCTTCACTGTGCGTAATTTATTTATCTCTCTGTAAGCCTGATTTACCAGCAGTATATTGTTGCCCAATAGTTTCTTACTGTCAAATGATCAGTCAAGGAATTTTTTACTCAGAACATGTCTAGACCTGTAGCGGCACTTTCTCCTAAACTTCAAGCAACGACTGAAGATATGCAGCAAATCGCACTCGACTTCCTTGATTTCCTTCTGACCAGGTTAAAAAAAATCTTACCAAACTGATTTATAACAATTTATTAGGCTTAAACATTAGATAACTAATATACAAACGGCAGATTGGCCTTAAATATATCACTAATCAAGACTTCTCAGCCCGCCTTTCTTTAATTTGGTGATTGGTGGTGACAAGGCAAAGTCGCACTCCATCTCCACCAAACAATAACAAAAAAATGCCAAAAGCTGATTGAAAATCAAAATTATTCTCTTCGCTGATGCAAGATAACACAGAAACAAATTTACAGCTTCAATTTTGTGGATCAGCCTATCACACATATTTTGAGTTACTGAGATTAACTTGACAAAATTATGCCCCAGTCAGCAACTTCCACTCCGCTACGGAAGTTACACCCATACGAAGCCACGCTTATTGGAAAGTAATCCATTAATTTTTCATTTCTCCGTAGATGCTTATTCTTAGTGTTTTTGTTTGTTTGTTTGTTTTTTTCACTTCAGCTATAGTTTGTAATTGATCCATCATAGAATGGTCAGTTTTGAAACTTACCCAAATTTTCTCTGACCGAGTAACAAGTGAGTTATGATCTTACTGTGATGTAATGACATGGTAACGAAACCATCACTCGACATAAAGATTAAGACATCAAAGAAATGTAATACAGAAATGAGCCATGGGATTGCTTTCTTCGATTTTAGCTCACTCAGATTAGGCGATCTTTTCTTCCCGGCTAGATGATGTTCCTCAGTATCAAAGAAGAGTCTGCCTCAGGATAAATTAAAAAAACTGAAGATGAAAATCCCCATACCTTAATTTTTTCCTACTTTGATAGTATTATCCAAGTGTTGTATTCAGTAATTTCCCGCGTATTTACTGCCTGATTGTCCCTCTAGATCTGAAGTAGTTACCAGTCAATGAAATATCAAAGCCATGCAATTACACTCTTTACAACCGATATCAGATTAGTGCCACGTAACATGTATGCAGAGCTTCATCTCAACTATGTTAACGCACTTGACAAAGTTCACGCACCAAGTGACATGAACACAAAAGTGACACAATCCATCGCAAGAACAGTGGTTTTTCTCAATCAAGATCCTAGCATTATGCCTTTATCTGAATAAAGAACGAACGATATCGCACTATCTCAAATTTGTTTTCTTATACTTTCTCCTGTTGTGGAAAGGGATTACGATGCTCTGTAAACGGTATTGTAACGCTGTTTCCAAACTGGATTCTCCTTTTCCCCTTTTGATTGACTGTCGATGGCTCTCTAATATCCACGTCATTAGAAATGGCATCGTCGATACGTCTGGAAACCTTATCTACCTTTAAACGCAGGATGGGCAGCTGAAGGGTATCAATGGTCTTGAGCTGCTCACTGATTTCATCGAAGAAAGCCTTTGTCTTGAGGCACTTGCTGATTTTATCAAAGAATATCGCGCGATTCCCTCTTTCGGTTGTCTCTCCTTCACGCATTTTCTCTCCTTTTCTCTCGTTTTCCTTATTCTCAGATGAAACGTTAACTCCGTTAGTCTTGTCAACAATTGTGTTCACAGGCTGCCCAGCAGTTACCGCCTGTTCAGTTTCCTTATCTACTTCCACAGTCTTAGCTTTGGCGAGGGAATCATTTAATGTGGAGACAAAAAAGTTCATTAAAACTATGGTAATGCTAAAAAGAAGTGAAACCGCAAAAAGGTGTCCAAAAATTGGGATGCCTTCAGCCAGTTCCTTTATAGGTCGAGCCTTCACTTTGCCAAGAGTTATCTCCAGCTGGAAAGCAAAGGCCCGCCAAAAGCTCGCGTACCTGCCGATGGACGGACCGAAAACTAAAATTCCCGTGTGCAGAAAAGCAAGAAATATGATCGATAAGACCATACAGAACGAGAGAAGGTCGTGCATCCAGATCCTTAAAGCATTAGAGAACAACCGCGTGTAGAAATTAAAATAGGTAAGTTGTAGTCGCTTAAAGGTTGTTAAGCAAGTGAGAAAGGCGAGAAGACTGTTTTCAACTTCTGCCCATAAGAGGGGCGTTTCAAAGTTTACATGAGCAAATGTGTTTTCATCCAGCCTAAGCACACTCATCTTTGTGAGGTAAGACTTCATAAAACTCGATACAAGTAGTAAAATGGATGTCGCTAAATGGCCAAAATCAAGCAAACACCTAAAAGAGCAAACGTATCGGCACCGCCCTCTGACTAAATATGCTATTGTTTCGCCGATTTTGAAAATAACCATGGCTATAAAAAACACAAAGCATATGCCTTGAAAAATATGTAGGAAGGATTCTGTGGTGTACAGCGAGATGGTATCAATGCTTCTTTTTACCGTTGCCTGACCAGTTTGGAGAAATTCTACAAAAAAAGAAG